ACCAACAGCAGGGTCACCCAATGGAGTTATCTGAAGTAAAATAACAAAGAAGTTAAGATGACTCTTGTGTAACCAGCTCAGGTCACCCTCTTGCTCAGGTGCTGCATGATCGGACAAAGGAGATGTTGCCTCTGAGGTGGAGGCTGGAAGGGTCTGGGCTTTCAAACTGTCAGCAAGCATTTGGATGAGCCACCTTCCTGCTGAGGAGCTCCTTAACATCATTCCTGCCTCCTCCGGTACCGTACTGGGAGATGCTCCAGAGTTCATTAGCCTGGACTCCCATCAACAGCTGCTCCTGCACTGACCTTCACTCACACTCTGATACCGTCCACTTCCAGCACAAGCTGACCTGCAAGGAAACGTGGGATTAATGCAAATGCAGAAGCCCACGGCTGTGTCACCACCACGTATTGCAGCCTTGGGAAGTCAGCTACAACTACAACCTTGGTCAGAATTAAAACAGGCACAGTGCATTAACTGTGACCTCTAAACTGAAGTAATTGTCACGATCAGAAATAAATACTGAAATCGCTCACTTAACTATTGGTGGTTACCTCCAAACTCTTTTGCTTTTGGGAGAATATGGACTCAGAATTGAAGGATATAAGAAAAATGACATCTGCTTCACTGGAGGTGGTTAAGCTTGGAAGTAGGATTCCAAAATGAAAAGGTTTTCAACTCCTTATAAGGCAGAAAGCGATGGGATGATTGCTGATGCCTGCAGAAAGCCTGATCTGCTCTGCCACAGGTGGCTGAATGACACAAAAGCTGTGCTGCTCATTCAGAAGTGCGTGGGGCATGGGGTGGGCATGGGGGACCAACACACGGGATGTCAACACTCACTTTCCCATCAGAAGGGAACTCCCTTCTCCCTTCCATGCCATGTCCACACCACTCCTAAGGGCTGTACTGACACAGTCAGCATAGAATCCATGCAAACGTTCTTTTCTCATCGTGGTGGTTTTTAACAGACGCAAGCAATGAGACATCGGGTCACTGTGTGGGCTGCTGGGTGACACTGCCATCATTTCCAAGCCATTGCTTCCTAGGGGCAAATAAAGTAAAATACTTTAAGAAAATTTCACACAGAGATTGCATACTATACTATTCTTTTACACAAAGCAGAAGGACATAACAGGAGATACGTGCAGCTACATCAACACTCCAGTTGCTGAAGGAATGGAAAGACAGATCAAATGACAATACATTATTCTAATTCAAGGACTGCTCATCAGCACCCATTGCCCAGGGAGCAATGCAGGGATGATTGTTGCATTTCTTCTTCTCCTAGCCAGAAACTGTTTTTCCTACCTTAAAAAGGAAAGGAAAAAAAGCCTGACATAGTGCTGACAGGGCAGGCAGATGTGGCACACCAAGGCATACTGAATCTGCAGAACATTTGAAACTTTCACCTTTCCTCCAAGAGCAGTCTAAACCTTCCATACCCACTCCTACTTTCACCACTATTCTTACTAAAGCTGCTTTTTCAGCTGGGGCTCCTCTCTGTCCTCAGCAGTATGACTCAGCACACAGAAGCACCTCAGCTCCATTTTGTTTCCACACCCACTTTGTGGGACCGTGGGTTTCCCATCAGAAGGCTTCACACACACCGTGCGTTCAGCTCAGTGAAAGGAGACACAGCTGATACAGGCTTGCTGTGCAAGAGAAATCCAGGTTCTCTTCTCATTCCCACAATCCTTCCAGTAGTTCAGTCCATTTGGTACATTACCATGTCCCGGATTCTCAGCTGTGTTTTCCACACACTAATCTGTCTACCAACAATGCATACACAGGAACCAAGAAACCAATAGCTACACTCAATCATAACCCAGGGCAAGGAAATCTCAGAGCAATCCTAAGTGAAAGCACCACTTTTCTGAAACTCTGACTCAAGCTCCTCACGCTCCCCCTCAACTCTTTTCTCAGAAGCCCACTCCTCTGCTTTTTCCTTTTCCTCTGAATGCTTGCATTTTTGTGCAGCCAGGACTTGGGAGAAAGCTGGGATGCAAACTGCAGAGAACTGTCCCAGCAATGAACAAACAGAAAGCCTGGGCAGAAAGACAGTGCATCAAGTCCAGATGCCTGTTGTGTATCTGTACCTCTCTTTGGTGCTTTCTCCAGCTCTGTCTTCTTCCCCAGCCTTTCCACATGGCCATGCTGCAGTGGAAGGCCACTGGAGTCAGTTTCTCGCAGAGAGAAAGCAGGAAATACTTGAAGAGCAACTCTTTGGAAGAAGATTTTAGCACAGCCAGCCACTACCTTCAAGTTTTCAAGCACAGTTTCTTAAATTTGCCTTTCCACTGCTCTAACATTATGCCTTCCTTACAGTCAACACGAGGCACTTTTCTTCCTCCTCCATCACACACACCCTTTCACACAGTCCTATTTAGATGAAAGTACCCAAACTACAGCTCACAAAACATTCTTACCCACAGAGGCTTTCCATTTCCCCCTTTCTCAATAAGAGTCAATAGAATCCCATGCTCCATCCCTAAAATAAAGTACAGCCTTTCCATGTCACAGAAAGCAGTTGCCAATAGAATCCTTGTCCTGTTAGCCCACATCCACCAAAATCCCTCCAATACACAATTTCTACAGCCAAAACAAACTCATTTTTTCAACTGAAATGCATTTACAGAAAGTATTACTAGTCTCATTCCTGCTGAGTGAGTGGCAAATTAATCCACATCTGTCAGACAGCTCTACAATGCACAAAGCAAAGCTGCACAAGCAAACACAACGCTATCAGGTGCATGAGCTGAGAAACACTTCATTCCTAAGTCAAACAACTGTGAGTACAAGTACCTCCACACTGTTTGGCCTCTGCAAGGAATAGACACAGCTCTAAGAACCATTTAGACACAGACTCGGATCGCTCTACTGCCACCAACAGCCACTGTCAGCCTCTCTATTGCTTCCACTATAGCTTCCAGTACAGCGCTGCCATCAGTCACTCTTTCCTCTCAAGACTCTCTTGTTTTCTCACTTACCTCCTTAGTTGCACTAAGGAAATGGTTTTGCCATTAGCTACGGCATCCACCCCCAACCAAACCAACACATCTATCAGTCAGCAGGGTTGCGCCCCATGAGGCCAGGCCTCATGCCATGACAGCAGAGGAGCAAGGTCCAAGGCTGCAGCAAGGGAGGATTTGCTCAAAGGCAACAGCCGTGGGCACAGAAATCAAGGCAAGAAGCTGCTTATCTTCAGAAGGATTCAGGTAGGCAGGGATCTCCAGAGAGATCCTCTTGCCTACACTGCCAACCCTTCAATGAGGGCTGGGAAGGGGTAGATCCTGGCTCCAGCCCTTCTGTCATTCTGGAACATTGCATGCTCTGGGTTGGCCCTGCCTTTCTACCAGGTCAAAAATCAGGTTTCAAGCCATGGCTCAGCATTTACACTCCAGCATCCCTTAGCATTAACCCCACAGGACAACCCTTAACCTTTTACCTTCACCTAAAAGGCTAATCCTTAACACTCACCCCAAAAGATACTCCTCAACCCTAATCCAAAATGCTAACGCTTAACCCTCATTCCCATCTCAAAAGTGCTGCTGTTGTCCCTAACAAAAAGGACAAGCCATAAACCCCCAACCAGGTGGGCACACCCCCACCATCACTAACATCAAGTGTGAAGCCTTAACCTTTAAACCTAACAGAAAACAGTAACATGAAACCCTAACCCCAAAGGGTTACCCTCAGCACTTAGCTCTAGCACTAAACACTAACACTTCATTACAATCCAGAAGTGTAAACCTTAGGATCATAGGATCACCACGGTTGGAAACAACATCTAAGACCATCTAAGTCCAACATTTCCCACTAAATCACATCCCTCGGTACAACACCTAAACACTCCTTGAACACCTCTGGGGATGGTGATTCCACCATTTCCCCTTCCATAAAAACCTAACCCAAAAGGGTATATCCCATCACCATCACCCACAAGGGTAACTGCAGACAAAGGCAATAGCAAATATAGCTGCTTTAAACCAGTCCTAAATTAACCAAGAAAAGTAAAGGACACAAACCTGTAAATACAGAATGAGCCAGCAGGATGAGGAAATGAGCAGAGATTTCAGAAACGTGTCTGCTGTCAGGGAGGGGAGTTCAGGCCTGCCCCAGTACCACAGATCTCCAAGGCACGATACAACATGGGGAGGTGGCAAAGGTGACAGGGCTAGGAGGAGAGCTGGCGGAGGAGGAAGGTTGGATGCCTGGCAGTTTGAGAGGGACTGAGGTAGCCTCACTCATCACAGACATGGTCAGCGCAGACACTCTGGTGTCCGACATGATGTAAAGTGTCTTCTTAGGACTGGTTGTGGTCACTGCAGAGAAGGAAAGAACATGGTCAGCAGTTGTGGGGACAGGGTGCCTACCCTGGGCTGCAGCCCCGGCAGCAGAGTTGCAGGGCTTCAAACTGCACAGAAAACCCCCCTGTCTCATTTTGTTTTCAGACTGACTCCAAAATAAACCCCAGCACTGCCATAGCCTGCGCAGAGCACAGCAAGGGAGCCCCAAACCTTTCAGCTCCCTTTCTAGACCCCTCAGACTCTAAGAATCCTCCCTCCCTTTAGTGATCTCACTCTCTCCCCAGGGGGCTAGGACCATAGGCTTCTTCCTTGGCCATGAGCTCTCCATCGCACTCTCAGAACTGTCACACAGCTCAGGCATCTTCAACTCTGACCCACCAGCACTAAAGTGCACACACCACCTGACACGGCTTCACAAGCAACCATCTGCCTTTGCATCACATGCCTCTACCTGCCTTTGCTAGGCAAGCATGCACCTACCTGCCTTTGCTTTGGAAGCATGCACACGCTTCCCTTTGCTAAGCAAGACCACAGTCCCTTTTAATCTCAGGAGGGAATAAAACAGCCCGAACAAAAAGGGTACAGCGAGGCTCTCTCTAGGACACCTGCTGTCTCAGCAGAGTTGACAGTTACTTAAAATGCACTAAGTACCTACAAAACCATCACGCTCAAACAAGGAAAGTAAACAAGTCCAGGATGCAGTGAAGGGTTCCTAGCTCTTTGTAGGTAATACCTGCTCCGTGGGCACACGATGCGCACAAATTGCCCCTCATCTCTTCCCCATCCCCTTCCGCACCCCACCTCTCCTCAGAGACTTGCCAAAAAGGCCAGAACCATTACTCCCTTCTGGCAGGCTTACTCACAGAACAGCAGGCTTCTCTTCACCGTGCATCACATGGACACAAATGGGCTGTTGGTGCAAGGAGGGCAATTTCACCTGAGCACCTCACCATATATGTTCCCTCCACCCTGCTTTTCTGCAGAGATACAAGGATAAAAAACTCAGTTCCTCTGAGCAATGACTGGAAGGAACTCTGGAAAATTCTCCATTCAAAAGCAGCTCCTTTGTGGTCTTGGTTCCTGAGGGCTCCTTTGGATCACCTTTCAGGCAAAGTGTAAGAGGTTCTACTGTACAAACCTATGTACCTTGGTACCTTTTTCCACCCCAAAACTAATTCTGACAGAGTTGTGATGCAGACATTGGACACGGAGAAGAAGAGAAAAAGAGCAGAAGAGAGGATAAACTAAGGATACCGGTAAGGAAGAAGCGCAGAAGATGAAAAGCACAGTAGGATACAGGCAAGACAGCAAAAGAGATGAGCAGTAGCGGAGAGAATAAAGGTAAGAGATGCTGAGAAGGATAAGAGCAGAAAGAAAATAGACAAGAAAGAAGAGCAGAGAAGAAGAAAAAGGATGTAGGTAAGAAAAACAAGCAGACAAGGAGAAAAGCAAAAGAGGTATTAGCGTATACAGAGTGTATACAGAGAAGACAAAAGCAGAAGTGGAGAGAAGCTGAAGAGGAAAAGCGAGAAAGGAAGTCTGGCAGAAGTCAAGAGACAGTAAGAGAGGAAAGTGGCAAATGAGAAGAGCAGAAGAGAAGTGAGTACAGAAGAGCAGAAAACGAAAAGAGCAGTAAAGAAGAATAGTAAAGAAGAGTAGAACGTGCTATAAAGAGAACAGTAAAAGAGGAGAGCACATGAAGAAAGAGGAGAGAGGACAGTGAAGAAGGAACCGCAGAAGAGGAGCGTAGAAGGTGTGAGGACTGGAAAGAAACAAAGTGAGTGTAGTAACAGGACACCATTTCCCTTGGGACTTTGCAATCTCTTTCACTTCTGACAGACAGAGGCGCTGAGAAGAACAAGAGCCATGTCTGTGTTCACCAAGGACTCACCTCTGCATGTGCAGCGGCAGCTCTCAGAGAAGCCTTCTTTAGTCCCACTTTCCTCTCTTCAGGTCCTGGCAGGCATGGGGAGGAGCCTGACCACCAATGAAGACCGAGGCAAGACACTTATTGAGCACCTCAGCTCAGCTTTTTCCATGTCTGAGGAAGCCAGTTCTCTGTCCTCATTTATCAGAGGGGGAACGCTCTCCTTGGCCTGTCTTCTGCCTGTGTACCTGTAGAACCCCTTCTTGTTATTCTTCACATCCCACACCAAGTTCAGCTCCACCTGTGCCTTGGCTTTCCTAATCCTATCCCTGTGCACACAGACAGCAGCCCTGGCAGGAACGCAGCGCTGTGGCAATTTGCAGAGCTTAACATGCAGTTCCATCAGCGCATTGTGTTTTCGCACTCAGACGTTACTGGCTGCCGAGCGGAGCGGCTGATAAGGCCATAGTGAGCCACTTTTTCCTAGCAGTGTATGTGGGACCCGAGGAAAATGTCCTCGCGCGTTTTAAAGGCAAAAGCTAAAAGTATTCTACTGGGACTCCGGTGCTTCTCGTGAGGCACAATCATGGAGGCAGAAGGCAGAAGTATTCATTTGTGTCCCCATGCAAAGTTATTGAGGAGGAACGAAGCTGTTCTCCCACTAAAGCTGAAAGTTTGAGAACGATCACTCATGGATTCCTTTTGCTAAACTCATACGCTGGTTCTTAAACTGATGTGCTAATCCCTACTGCTGAACAGAGCAACCCACATCAATCCCCCCTTTTCCGTTGAGGATTACGATGTTCACATCCTAATCCTCACCACCTTTTGACCTTTCATACTTAGAGATACATCTCCAAAGTCCAATCACGCTACAAGGAAGGATGCATACATACAGCAATTACACACACCATCCCCACAAATAACTTCTTTAACCAGTGCAATTTGGGAAGCCAGGAAGTCACGCTGGTTTCAGCTCACATCGTCTTATGTTGTGCAGTATTTCACTTTGGTGCCATATCTTATCTCCATCTGCTTCAATTCTACCACTCTGACCTACATGAACACAACAATATCATTTATTGCTGCATGAACTCCTTCTTGTGCACCTAACAAGATACCTGAAGCCCTTCTACATTGCAATACCACCCAGGCCAAGCTCTGGACTTTTTCCCTTTTCTTCTTCCCTTCTGCCTCTCTTCCCCTCTCTCCTTCTTCCTTTCCTTTCCTTCTTTTCCCTTGCCCCCTTTTCCATTTCCCTCCCCTCCCTCCCTCCCTCCCTCCCTCCCTCCCTCCCTCCCTATCAGCCTGGCTCTCACGCTGTTGTCCAGAT